AGGGTGATCCTGCACACCCCCCCTTCACCCTGAACTGCATGAGGCCAATACCCCCCACCTCACAACCAGGCCTATAAACACTCCCAAGATTTGGGCTGTGAGACCCCCAGAACCAGGACTGCAACTCTTCCAGGATGGGGGCTGTGAGACCCCCCCAGGACCTGGGCTGTGACCCCCCCCACCCCCCTTACCTTTCCAGTTATGAACTTGTGTGCCATGCGGATGATGAGGAAGGCCCAGAAGATGTGCAGCAGCTGCAGCACCCCCATCATGGCATTGAAGAAGTAGTAGCCAAAGAAGGCTGGGTAGAGCTCCAGGGGGTAAACCACAGTGCAGTGCATGATCCTGGGGAGGGAAAGGAGCTCCATTACAGACCCCCACCACCACTGCTGGGTGCTGGGTGTCCCCCCCCCTCCCCAGGCTCAGCCCCCAACGCTCACCAGAAGGGCAGGATGACCAAACGGGTGATGATGAAGACGGCAGCGAAGACGATGAAGATGTTGTTACAGGTGTTCCTCCAGTTGGCGTAGTTGAACATTTTGGCTGACTGTGGGAGGGAGTTTGGGGGGGATGAGGGGAGAGGGCACAGCCCCACGGGTGGGTGGGGGGCAGAAGGGGGGGCCCATACCTCCAGTAGGTAATCAGAGGAGTCGTGCAGGGCCATGATGAGCGTCCCAGCACGGACGTAGTTGGCAAACCAGGAGAAGCTGATGAGGATGATGGTGGCCACGTGGTGGATGATTTGCTCCTTGAAATCCTGTATAGCACAAGGAGCCCTGATCCCCCCATTCCTGCTGCTCCCCTCATCCAAACCCCTTCCCATCCTTCCACTGCCCCAAAAGTGACCTGGAAACCCCAGGGAGGGGAGGGGGGGGGGAGTCAGGGGGTCCCACCTTGCGTTTGACATCAGAAGCGATGCTGAAGAGCAGCGACCAATAGAAGGAGAGTTCGATCATGTAGTACCAATACTGGGAGGGCAGGATGCTCTGAAAGCCAAGGATGAGTTGGAGGGGGGGCTCAGGGATTCCATCAACTCCCCCTCAGCAAGCATCGACCAATTGACCACCCTGTGGGGATGGAGGGGACCCAGCCAGAAGCACCAGGATCCGATGGGGGGCAGCCCCACAGGGGTGGGGATGGAGGGGACCCCCCCAGAAGCA